ATCACTTTTGTCTTTGTTATATTAACTGTTAAGCCTGATTGTTCACAAAATGCCTCTAGCTTGTCGAGATATTTCTGAAGCCCTTTAGCAGATTTAGAGAACAGAACCAGGTCATAGAACAGAACCAGGTCATTATGAACGCAGCCTAACCAGCATACTTTACTTTATATTTTTAGGATTCTATGAAATTTGGATACGCTGCCCACATACTTTGATGCTAATGCTTCGAAGCTCTTTAAAGACAAAGCTAAGTCCACCATGTCCACTTGTGATTGACGTTGGTGCAGGGACATGGATAGTTGGGGGGCTACTGATGAAGGATCTTGGCTACGCTAATGTCGACGGCATAGACTGCTGTGAAGCCATACTACAGAAAGCACGTGACAAAAACATTTACAAGAACGTATTTGTGAGCTTTGTTGACGAGAAAAAAACGAAGCGTTTGACGGTGGTATATACGATGCCCTGATAAGTTCTGCGGCGATTTCTCCGCCTTTGATACAAGCAAGAGCTTTTGAGGAAATGATACGATGTAGCTAATGGGTAAAGAAAGGTCAGTTTTTCCCCTGGCAACTACTTGGTATATGATGCATAGTAGATTCGATCTGCGGCTGAATTATGAGACAACATTACGCAGAATTACGCAAATTCACTCCGGGATGCACAGGCAGCCCAAGCTCTGTGCTTCTATAAACTGAATGTATGGAGATTTTTGTGGATCATATTTTTTTTATAGAAATCAGGGGCGGCGATCCAGGGGCGGTAAAAAGGTGACTAGTCACCCCCCTTTGCCTCAAATTTCTTAGTATATCGTTAGTAACAGTCACCCCCCATTTCGCTCGAATTCCTGATTAAACCTTTGCAATAAGCCTTTTCATAGTTTAAGAATCGATTCCACTGCGCATGCGATTTTATCCCGATTTTCTCACCTTCTTTTGTTTAATTAAGAACAAAAGAAGGTTTAGACAAAAGAAAGTGAGAAATTCGGGATAAATTCGCATGCGCAGTGGAGTCGATTCTTAAACTATGAAAAGGCTTATAGTGACCCCTCTGTGCGGAATGCAAAACGAGGTCCAGATGTAATTTTAATATCTTTATCCCGCCAAAGCGAATAGATCATTTCAGTTAGGCAAATTTCTAAACATTTTAAACAACTTTATTCTATAAGACAGTTTATAGATTAAGAATTGTTTTCAGTGCGCATGCGATTTTAGCGAATTTTGCATGCGCTGTAGGAAAAAAATCAGCTCGGTAACCGGACTAGTTCGTTTACATATGAGAATTTTTTAAATCCTGCTTGCCGAGATCTCGGTACCTTCCAACCGAGATCTCGGCAAGTGAGCCAGCCCGTTTCCCCATATGACGTAAAGGGATATTTACTAAGAAACATTGCATTTGTTTCATCCATGTTTAGAGTATTTTCTGCTTTTTACAGGCGGAATTCTTTGTTTCACTATCCGTCAAGACTCGCTGGACCAACCGTCTTATGGCTACTTGGAAAAATTCCAGAAATTGGAGGATGAAAAGAAGTGATAGCAAAAGAGCTTGTGGATTACTACTCATCTGAAGGATCTGAAGATATATTTGGGAGTAAAGCATATATTTGTGTCTACCAAGTACTGTGATTATGCTGGCCTGCCCTATCGATGTGTCATCCATCCAACCAACCAATCAGCCAAACAATCAATGTTATGAACGAATGAATAATGAATTAATGAATAGAGGTTTTGCACCATCATGTGACGGCAGTCATGTTAGAGGAACAATGCAATCGTTTATATGAGAAAAATTCAATACTCGAGAGCAAAGGGATTTTATTGTTAGATTTCCCTGACAGACAGACAGACATTATGTCATCTATAAACCACAGCAGCCCAAGCTGTGTTATGGGTGCCGGCACATGATGATGCAAAGCCTCTATAAGGAAAATGTTATCTCAAAGTAAAACAATATTGACCAATAAACAATAACTTTTACATCTGGCTTACGAATATTTTCAAATCAAACAGATTTTATTGAATGAAAAGTAAGAGATAGTTATTATGAAGATGGAAATATTTAACAAGTCTTAGACCTATTTTAACAAAACATCCTTAATTGCATTTAATGACAAAATGACTATAATTTCCACTTTTGTTACTCTATTTTCTATAATATTTTCTACAAATTAAACTTCTTAGCAAATTTCTGTAGTACATAATATGTTTTACTTGACAAAAGCCATTGTAATTCATTTTTGTCCTCTCTCACCCCACCCCTAGAAGAAGGAGGTCAAATTTGTTGCTCTGGGTGCAGAGTTATATTAAGAGTTTATTAAGAAAGTCCCTGTGAATGAGTCATGGCAGATTGTTTTAAAGGAAGGCAATAGATGTAAGGTAAATCCATGGACACACCAACTACAGACAGACAGACAGACCAAAATTATGACAGACAGTTATAAAAATAAGTTAATAATTATCAAAATCTAATGAAATTATTAGTGGACATTCAAAAAGCGAGAGTACTATTTAAGGGTTGTGACAGATAATGAACAGACTTCTACGGGGAGGGGGGCGGGTGAAGTGACAAAATTTACTACGAAGGCCTAGTATATAATATGGCTCTATGTTTCGAACAAGTCATGTTTTTTGACATTAGGGTCATGCCATTCTGGTTTTTTGATGTATTTGAGTGGTTTAGGGACCTCCCATGGGAATCCTGGCTTAAAGTGGCCATAAAGACAGGTGCTCTGGTAGATGGGCTTCTTAAGATCAAGATCCCTGTAAAATATCCAATGGAACATGTTTGAGTATCAATCCTGGGGAGAGGCGGGGGTGTACTCCCACATATGGACTATTCAGGGATGATCCRCTGAACAGGGTATAGTTTTTCGAGCTTCTTTTCATATACAGGGTATGCAAGTTCTTCCTGAGTTTCCTGTCATATTCAGGGTTTCTACTTTCACATTGACCGAAACTGGTTATTATGGTCATAAAAAAAACCATACTCGAGATGACATGATAATTGAAACAGGAACTCAGTACAATTAACTATATCATTTATCCACAAATTTGAGTTTTTTTTATCATAAACAGGGTACCCCTTTCAGAATCCCAGCGGAACACCCTACCCAATTTTTGGCAGAGTACCCCCGGGGTATCAATTTGGGTTTGTTGATGTAAAGTACAACCAAATGAAGTTGAGTAGAATGGAGTAAGGTTGTGTAGAGTAAGGTTGTGTGGAGTACGGTTTTGTGGAGTAGGGTTGTGTGGAGTAAGGTTGTGTGGAGTAAGGTTGTGTGGAGTAAGGTTGTACGGAGTTAAGGTAGAGTGGAGTAAGGTTGTGTGGAGTAAGGGTGTGTGGAGTAAGGTAGAGTGAATTAAGGTTGTGTGGAGTAAGGTGGAGTGGAGTGAGGAAGAGTGGGAGTGAAGTAGAGTTTACTAAGGTTGTGTGGAGTTGAGTAACATACAGTTATTTAGTAAGCTGCAGGTTCTCTGGAGTAAGATTGTGCGAAGTGAAGTAAAGTAGAGTGAAGTAAGATATTGTGGAGTAAGGTGGCATAGAGTGGAGAAAGGTAAGGTATTATTATGGGAGTGAGGTTTTGTGGAGTTGACTAAGGTATATAATATATAGCAATTAAAATTAATTTTTACTTCACAATAATTTTTCACTTTTGAAATATTGAAAGAATATGAAAGATGAAACAAACACTTACCTAATGATCACACCAGGTCTCAGATCAAAGTTATGTTTAATAATCTCTAATAATTCCTCTTCTGGTCGATAACCAGTGCCATAGGTAAATACGGAGATTGACAATGGTTCAGCTATGCCAATAGCATAGGAGAGCTGTACAAGGACACGATGGCAAAGTTTAGCCGCTACTAAAGACTTGGCTATCCAACGTGCAGCATATGCTGCTGAACGATCAACCTAAAAACATATAAAACAAGTGATATTTTGATTCATTTGATTCATATTTAAATTCAAAATTTGCTGCTTATCTATTGTCTAAATACTCAAACACTATTGGATAATTTGTAGAAAATTTGTTGAGATGGCCTTGGTTGGAGTAGTCACACTGTACCATAATATATTCCAATCTTGTTTTTGAAGTGCCAAAAGGGCTGGGCAGGGAGCTTATGTTAAAATATTCTTCCAGCCATATATTACCTAGGGCACTTTTGAACAAGAGCTTTTTATTTTAATCCAACAGGTTGTTTTGTTATCGTTTAGCATGGAGTTATAAATTATAAATGTTATTTGTTTATCAACTTTTTTATGTTTACTAGTTTGAGCCAAACCTTAAATACATCTTCGCTTAGCTGAAACATAAAGTGGCTGTCTTCCAAGTTCAGCAAGTAGGCAGAAAAGACCTTTTCACAGATCCCGTCGTGGCTCAACCTCAGCCTCATCAGCGTGTAATATATTCTTTAGAAATTGCCTACAACCTGTGAAATTTTTAAGTGTTTCAATTGTTCGTTGAAGTGTAAATTCCTTTCATTTCCTGTGTAATATATTCTTTAGAAATTGCCTACAACCTGTGAAATTTTTAAGTGTTTCAATTGTTCGTTGATGTGTAAATTCCTTTCATTACTGCGGACTGTAGTCAAATTCTAAAGAATAATTACATGCTGACGAGGCTGAGGTTGAGTAACGGGATCAGTGAAATGGCCTATTAGTTGCATATTTCCCAACCCCCAGGAACATTTTGCAAAATTTTAAAGCTCACTCAATAGGATTGTCTTTGAGAAACTCCGTAACTCAAACTTTGCTACCATGTAGTAAAACTCATCTCAGTAATGCATCAAAAAGCTTCATTTTCAGACAAGGATCATATTCAAAGGACCGGGCCCATTTCTTTTTAAGATCAAAGAGGGTTTTCCACGCTTGTGATCGTAAAGTTCTGACAAAAGCACTAAAAGTTAGGCCAAGGTATTTGTATGACCTAACATTATCTAGGGTTCTTATATTCTCATAAGTGAAAGAGCTACTGGTTCAATTGTTTAATCAATGTTTATCATAAGCCCATTTTTTTGAAAGGTCTGTTTGAAAGGGCACAAAGGCTATGAGCATTTTTTCCAACTAAAGTTAAGTTATCAGCATAGAGAAGGGAGTTTAGGTGAACATTACCAAGAATAATTGGGTTGGTGATGCTTGCTAAACATAAGGAGGTGGGCAGAAGGTTGCTTAGGAATAGTATACGACCCTGTTTGACACCATTATTTCACTGAAAAGAGTCCATAATGAGACTATCTATTTAAAACAGTCACTCTCATACACTGATTTAATCATCGCCAAGAACTGGCCCTTGATGCTACAGAAACTGTCTATGAATACAGTCAAAAACTTATTTATTGTTATTTATCAGAAGCCATAACGGGTAGGCACTAAATAGAAAAATACATTTATTCTTCAAGCTTAGATTACTAAAGCCCAGTATTATTTTAAGGAGGCCCTGTTACATAAGGCTCTTCTTTTGGCCCCCGTATTTTGTCACTCAAAACTTATATTTTACAACCATCATTTCCAGTATGGGGCTCTTCCATCAGGTTCCCTCCACATGCACTACCACTACATTCTATATTTACAACATACAACACTCTACTTATAGATTAGTTGTTCCTTTTTTTACAGAGGGAGGAAACTGAAGAACCCAGAGAGAACAACACATTTAATGCAGCACCTTCTCAGTTATCTTAACACCCTGAGTGTCAGTCCATCTGGGACTCAAACCACAACCTCCCACAAAACAAACAAACGCTCTTACCAACTGGGCTAAACACGCAGCGGTAAAATCATAAAAGGTCAGTTATCATTATACCTTGCTTGGGTCTTTTCCTGAGAAGGCTCCGCCACCATGAGCTCCCCAACCACCATACGTATCTACAATGATCTTTCTCCCTGTCAGACCAGCGTCACCCTGAGGTCCACCAATCACAAATGATCCTGAAGGCTGCAGATGGTAAATGGTGTCTTCATCCAGGTATTTGGCAGGAACGACAGTCTGGGATTCAAAATAAAGATGATGATAAGACAGTTATAACAGTTATATCTACTGCACAAAACATTAAGGGGGAATTCATGCTTTATATGTGGGTATGAGGACTTGAAAGGGGGGCCAATTGTTTCCTATGGTAACATTTAGGGGTGGAGGCCAGGGGGGGTGGGGGTGGAGGGGGTGTCTTTATGGTATTTTTTTATTAAAATGAAATTGGTATCTATATCCTGAATTTTGACTCTTTTCTGATTATTGTTATAGTCTATAAACAAATATTCCCCTCAGGCTCAGTAATTTTTATAAATAACATTTACCTCACCTTTAAAGACTCTCAGATTGGTAAATATTCACTGATAATTATTACTTTGCCTTTGGCAAATAATCGTGAAGGTATTACAAACTATACAATTACATAACGTGAACTTGGGCTACTGTAGTGTATTTGACGAAGTATAAGCACTTGGAGCCCCAGCCAAGTTTTTTGGTGTTTGGTTTGCATAATGATGGGAAATGACAACTTCTCAAAGGAATACCATTGGTGTTATTGCATGGCATTTAAATTTGCAATATTACTGTTGCTTCTGTTGTCACTTTGAAAGTAATTTATTAAAGCATTAAAGTCATCAACATGGAGGAGTACACAAGTAGAGGATGGGCCGGGGGAGACCTGATGGATTACGAGCTTGAGAGTCAAATATCCTAAATCTCCCATCACCATTACAGCAAATAGCTACTGTATTACAATGAATAGTTAACAGGAATCACTAGTAATGTTCTCGAATTAAAACTTGCAAAGCATTACCTAAGGGCATGCACTACAGTAAAAGAAATCGACAATAGATGAAATATCATGTATGTTACCAGTGTAACTTGGGCTGTATTCCATCTGGGCCCATTTGCACAAAGCCTGAATAGCGCTATCTGACGGATAAATATTATCCAGTGGATAAATTTATTGGATAACCTCATCGACTTATCCACTGGATAAGGATTTATCCACTGGATAACACTATCCAGGCTTCGTACATCCGGGCCCTGGTAATTAGTTTCTAATACTGTTACTATTCAAGGTAATTTTGTCAAAAGTAAAAAGTCTTGGTTATGCAATCTTGACAGGACAGAATATAACTCATTCCCAGTATACATAATGCTTACTAAATCTGCTGAAGAACTTATTGACTTCTTATTGATGTTTATGTATCAATGCACACAGTGACATGGCTACACATTGACAACCAGCATTTGGCCCAAATAATGCAATATTATATTGTGGAGCCGAAATTGGGATAAACATGGGATAAACAACATGAAGTATATTTTTGTGAACTTGGATTGTCAACAGTGGAAGATAATAAATAAGCTTGGCATTCATTGCTCTTTTATGAAAGTTAAAAAGTGATTTTCTAGACCCAAATGGTTTTCTTCGTCTGGGAAAAGAAGCTGGGTTTCTCTTAAACTTTCGATAATAACTTTTGGGATACTTCACTTCTTCATGATCAAAATTACAGTTATTCACAAAGCAATGCATTCTAGTTGACATAGGCACATTTTTCAAGACATAACCGACGAAACAACGAACCCTTTTTGTATTTTTCTGCTTTTGTGCAAAAGACCTGTGAGCTGTTTGACTGGAACTCTACTTGGTTCTTGATCACGCGAAACATTTCACGAGGCTTGTGCTCAACTTGAGTAAGGAATTTAGCATAACGAGACCTGCAATATTCCTTCGATAAATATGACTCTTTATTGAGATGAACAAATACAGATAACTGTACAGCTTTTTCGAATATCTCAGTTATGCTGTAGAGATTGAGTTTGACAAAGTCTTAATTTGTTGACACATTTATAAAATGTTGTACAACCAAAACCATCCACAAGGCAATGATCAACACACTCGTTACTGAACGAACGATAAACTGCTGAAGAAACTGTTCAAAATTGCAAACAAAATAATAAACAAAAAACTTATCCTCACTGTCGTTGACGTACAAAAAAAGTCCAAGAATTCTTGATTCTGGAAACGCATTTGTTATCTAGATAGATTCCAATATGGCGTCTATGTTGTTTTCTCTGATCAGACCGCCAAGCAGACCGCAGACCGCTGAACAGCGCAGGCTTACACACTTTCGACAGCGTCGATTTTACAAATTGACATCAGATTTTTATGTGTCTGTCCTCTGGATCCACACACTGCTTTGACAATGTGATGGCGAAATTTATTGTCAATAAAAGGACAGACACATAAAAATCTGATGTCTATTTGGTTTTTACAATAACAAAAATGATAAAAACTTCTCATTTTTACTGATCAAAACAACTAACGGAAAGAGCGCGCCCTCGTTGATGTCAGCCTTATCTGTCTGTCCTCTTATTGATGATAAAAAATAACCAATCAGTGCCCGAGAAAGTTATTGTAAAAAGATAGACTGATAGAAAACCAAAACCTAGACTCTCGGCCTACCACAGGTAGCCCGAGTAACAAGGAATTAACAGTGGCATCTCTAGAGAGGAACTATTTACCTTGACTATATGTTGCATTAACTGGCTTCTCATTGCGTCTAGTTCAATGTTAGGGTCATGTTGCACTGATATGACAATGGTATGGACCCGAATAGGAACAGCCCTCCTATTCTCAAACTTGTACTCAACAGTGACTTGAGTTTTAGAGTCAGGGCGCACCCAGGGAAGTGAACCATCACGCCTACACTCAGCAAGTTTCTTGTTAAGTCCATGTGCTAATACACAAGTTAAAGGCATGAGTTCATCAGTTTCGTCTGTGGCATAACCAAACATTAATCCCTGGTCTCCTGCTCCTACATCTTCGTCCCTTCGTCCCACGTGAACTCCCTGGGCAATGTCAGGACTTTGTTGCTCAATGGCTTGAAGGACTGTGCATGTTTTGTAGTCAAATCCTGAAATAATAAATCATGCAGTTGTATATATTACTTAGGACATTATAATTAGCCAAGCTATGATACAATTATTACCCAAGGAAGATAATGCATGCAATGTGACAAAACTACACTACACTACTAGCACCTGCAGGACACAAGAAAGTATCAGGTATGCTTGTCACTCCAGGGGGGGTACTCCCCTATATTTGCTAGATGGGTATGTGCCGCCCTATAGGGTATGGTTTTACGGCTTTTGGGTCTGGGGTAGGGTATCATTTTTTGACATTTTGTCTGGGATAGGGTATCAGATTAGTCTGGGATAGGGTTAACGATTTGGTC